GAGGGTTGAGGGTGGGAGGGACGTTATGGGGGGAAGCCATTGTAATCCATAAGCTGTACTTTGGAAATTTATATTCATTAAATAAAAGTTTAAAAAAATCAAAAAAAAAATAAAATTTACTTATTTATTTGAAAAAAATAAAAAAAATGAGAGCTTTGCAAAAAAAAGTTATTTTTAATAGGAAAATATGTACAATGATAAAATCATTGAAATCATTAAATGAAAAATTTCATTTCTGGATGTGGTATAATTCAGAATAAGATTAGGTGCCAGTTCTGTGGCTCAGCAGGTAAGGCCACTGCTTGAAGCACCAGCATTCCATATGGGTGCTGCACCTATATGGGAGACCCCAAAGAAGCCCCTGACCACCAGTGTCGTATTGGCCCAGCTCCCACCGATTTGGGGAGTTATCCTGCAGATGGATGATCTTTCTCTCTCTCTTTCCCTGCCTCCCTGATTCTGCCATTCAAATAAACAAATAAATCTTTTTTTTTTTTTTTTAAGAAGAAGGCTGAGTGGCAATCAATAAAAACTATGAAAAAACAAGACCATGCAAATAAATTTTAGACCATAGAAAAAGTGCATTTTTATGTTTTGATTCAAGTGTAAAACCTTGCCAAGTATAAGTGCTAGGGTAGACCCTTCTCCAACAAGATAACATAATGTTCCTTGAATATTCCTCAATGTATTTCTTCAACAAAAAGTGAGCATATTAACAATAGAAAATTTAGAATACTAGGACCGAAGTAGAAACTTTTACAATGTATTCAGTTTTTAAGGCATCATATGACAAAGGATAGTATTCAGTTTTGTGTTTATTAGAATTATAAGTAATTTGTGAGATTTCAAAAACATGTAGTTAAAAAATCAGTCCTAAGCATACACAGCTAGCAACAATCGGCCACATAAGGCAATATAATGTGGAAAATCTTCCTAAACTCCCACGACAATATAAGAACTGTATAATATCAATTAGTTATTTAATCTAAATTTTAATTGTATTTTGGTATTCCCCTAAGTTTTTCTGTTACAGTATAGCTTTCTGGGATTCCTACAGGATTTTTCCTGAAGGAAATATATCATTCAAAAGAATGATGCCTCAACAATTCTTATACAGTAGTTATTCACAAAGCCTCAGCATGACAATGCTATATTACACCAAGATTCCTTAGCCACAGTCCCACCAAATTAAAGTACTCTACAAAACACTGCGCAAGAATTTTCTGCAATTATTTGAGCTGGCAGTCAGTAACTTCAAGATATCAAACATTTTGAATTAATGAATCCATGAAATCTACATTGTGAAGCTTGGCTTGACCACAACTTCTCATTTCTAGAAATCCAATCTTATGACTACTAATGCATTCTTCTGTACTCTTTGAAGATTATCAATTGCCATGTGGCACATACCCATTTACTAAAAGTTTATTCCCTGTTATTCTCATTATTAAAATGTTTTATTTTATCACCTACTATCATAAACACTTTAATAATGAGAATAACAGATTATTCTCTGTTTTGTACACATTCTTGTTTTTCACTCACAATGACCATAAACAACATCTTGTCATTTACAAACATAGCTGTTATTATCTCTCACCTCCTTAGCGATTATAGAAATTTTACAGATGGCCTCAATATTTGTTATTTAATATTTGCCAGAACATTGATATCATGGCTGGGCACATGGCAGACACCCAAGGAGAAAACTAGGATAGAAAAGAATATCGAGAACACAGTCAAATGGAGTACATTTGGGGGCACTTCAACCTGTAGATGCATTTGTCTCTTAAAAGACCAGTCTAAGTCAGTATTTTTCCTATCACATGAATAAAAGAACTCAGCCAACTCACCTGAATTCAAAAGTGGTTTGTTGATTCATTTACAGAGGAATCCTTTAATAAGATCAATAATCTCTAAACATACTTGTGCTTAGTAGTTAACCAACAGGAAATGAGCTAAAAACAGTATAAGCCCTAACTATATTTCATTGAATATTTCATATGTTATGTTTTCCCAACCTATTGAGAAAACCTCAGAGAAAGCAAAGATTATATCACTGCTCAAAACTAAACAGTTTCATACATATATGAAATCTACAGA